CCCCAAAACCCCAAAACCCCAAAACCCCCGTCAGATATTATGATAAATTTCAATAAAATGAATTTAGTTACAAATTAAATTTAAAATAAAAACAAAATGGGACAGACTTGCAGTTGTAATGACAAGGACGAGGAACAAGAAGTCAAAGTTGACGTTAAGGTACGTTTATCACTGATCATAAATTATCCTACTAATCTCTTACTATCAAATGAATCACTTTAAACTCAAAAGAGATATTAACTATATTTACAGAAAGGAGGAAAGGAAAAGCAATAAAGTACTATGGCTCAGAATAACAGCAATTATAAGGCAGCCACTCCCTAAACAGTAAAAATTTAGAAAGCCATTCAATCAATTTTAAATATATTATAGAAGAACGGAATAAGTGAACCTGATTAAGATGGCCTCTAATATATTGATGAGCTAGCTTTTGACAATGGAGCAATATATAAAGGTAAAAATTATTGATAAATATTGGAATATCCACTTCTGACTTTTTAACAACATCTTTGAAGCCTTAACATTACAAACTAGGATATATGAAGGATGGAATGAGACATGGTAACGGAGTTTAAGTATGGCCAGATGGTGCTAGATATGAGGGAGAGTGGTCGAAGAACCAGGCAAATGGCAAAGGTAAATTCTGGCATGCAGACGGAGACATCTACGAGGGCGACTGGAGAGGTAATTAATTCATTGATTTAAAATATGTTTTAGATGATAAAGCAAACGGTTATGGAGTGTACATTCATGTGAATGGTGCCAGATATGAAGGTTATTGGAAGAATGATCTACAGGATGGATCAGGAGTGGAAACTTGGTCAGATGGTTCTAGATACTAAGGTGAATATAAGGAGGGGCAAAAGCATGGCAAGGGTAAATACATTTGGAACGACGGTTCTTGCTACGATGGATATTGGTATGAAAACAAAATTAATGGCTATGGTGTTTATGAATGGCCAGATGGTCGTCGTTATCAAGGCGAGTGGAAAGACAACAACATGCATGGTAAAGGACTCTATACCTGGAAAGATGGTCGTATGTATGACGGTGAATACTAAAATGATAGAAAGCATGGCTTTGGTACCTACACATGGGCTGATGGCAGACAATACATCGGATACTGGCTGAATGGAAAGCAGCACGGAGAGGGCAGATATAAATAAAATAATAACGTGGAGAGAAAAGGTCTCTGGGAAGATGGTAAAAGACTTAAATGGCTTGATGGTGAATAATGAGTTCAACTTTAGTTTCATTAGGAAGAGAATTCTTGCGCTACCTGCTGTGCAATGAGCTTTAAGAATTCTATTTAACCCATACTAATATAGATCTCTTAATTGTTTAATGATTCCACTACAATATATTATTATGACTGTTTAGCATTGCTCTTGAGGGGTTTTGGGGTTTTGGGGTTTTGGGGTTTTGGGGTTTTGGGG